ACTGCCGACAGGCGGATGATAGACAGACCTGTTAGGATCTGCCCAACTGCCGATAAGCTGAAAAGACAAACCAGTTTGCTGCGCCCATGTAAGAATAGGTGGGAGAGAGTCGGGGAGAATGGTGAAGAGAGGATCTGCCGGGCGGTCAGTCCCGGATAAAGGATTAAGTCAATGCAACGTAAGGTCTGTGGATTTTGTGGAGAGTCCACGTAGGACATGTAGTATGCGTCAGTCCATCCTGTCTGACGTCCTGTCCGCCATGGCCTGTCTCATGGAACGGACAAAGACTCAACAGCCGTCCTGTCTCACAGATCAGTGGATCGTCGGTCTATGAACCCTAGACCCTAAACCCTGGACCGACTTGCACTTCTGACACTAACAGACACGATACGCGACGAGGAAGGGCAGCACAACGTACGTGAGAGCGAACACCGGCCCATCTATTCATTCTTCCATCGTCTTGTGGTGTTGGTTGGTGCAGCTGTCATGGGAGTCCGCGGGTGGCCCGCCCAGCTGGGCGTAGCGGCCTCCCTCGGTGTGCTGCTTGCTATGGGCTGGTACTTCTGGGCAAAGCTGGCGAGCAAAGACGGAGATCTACAAGCAATCAGGTGGCTGAAGAGCATTAGAGGGAGCCATCCCTCCTTGACGCATACATCTCCCTGTTTGTCCTCTCAGGGAGCAAAAGAACGCTCAGCTTCAGGTGCGCATGAATAATGCAGCACACGCCAACAAAAACAAGGCACCTGTGTTGATCGATGCTGCTCACTTGTCCCTGTCCCTGTCCTCTCTGCTCATTCATACGGCAACGGACGACAGACCTATCACGATGCGTGGGTGTCGTTCGAGCGTGCGGGTCTGCGGGGCATTGTGGAGCTGCACGACTTCGGCAACGGCGTCGGCGTCCGCCTGTCGCCACACAACAACGCCTCGCACGACGAGCCGCAGACCAGCGGGACCAGGGGGGCTGTGCCCAACAGCACACTGCTCTTCTCCTTCCCTGGTGAGTTGCCGGACGGACGGGTAGAGGATGAGCACAATGACGACCTGCGGCCTGTCTCTTCAGGTTCCCTCGCGGTCGATCTGCTGTCCGCCTCAGGACCCCTTGCTCAGCAGCTCAAACAGGTGGGTGGGTGCACGTGTGTGGACGAAGAGTGGGTCAATGATGGATGGCTGGCTGGATGTGAGCGCAGGACATAACGTCGGGGCGGATAACGCCACTCACAGCCTGCCTGGTTCGAATGAGAGGCTCGCGTGCCATCTTCTGATTATTCTGATGATGATGATGATGGGTGCGTGTGTGTGGGTGGGTGGGTGTTTGTCAGGGTCTTTTCTTGGCTGAGCGGCGGGCGGATGAGGCCTCCCCTTTGGCTGCCTTCTGGCGGGCGGTGCCCGACAGGCAGTGGCACAAGGTCAATGACAGATAGATAGATGTGTGATCAGCACGAAGGAAGGAATCCTTCCTTCGATTGGTGTCTTCGTGCAGGAGAATGGCATCTTCTCCATCCCCGACTATGAGTTCAATCTCACTGCATTTGGGACCACCATGGAGCACTGGAAAACACAGGCACGTGCCATTCTGCCGACAGAATGCCGCATCAGGCCAGGAATGTGGCTTCTTTGCTGACCGATCGCTCAGGCCGTTGAAGCAACCAACGCCGCCTGGACGTACCTTTCAGAGCAGCCGGCATTCCAGGAGCCGCACCTCTCCATCGACGAGGCACGCAACAGCTCCCTCCATCGGCGTGCATGGATCTGCATCCGTTCTTTCCTGTGTGTTGTGTTGCGGGTGGCTCTGTGATGGTGTGTGTCAGGTTCGGTGGGCGTACATGCTGGTGCACTCACATGGCATCGGACACGGCAACGCACGGAGGGGTACGCAGGTGGACGGCTGGGTCAATGGCCTTGTGAGAGGTTCTGCCCGTCTGTCTGTGTATGGTGGGGTGGTATGCAGGTGGTGTGGTGGTTGAGCCTGCATTCATGGCTCCTGTGCTCTTCATGCGACCAACGCCAGAGGAGAGGGACGCTGTCCGGTAGCTTAACATACAAAACGGAAGGATGGCTGCGCACATATTTAATGTACACATCCCTATGCTACGTATTCTGTGTTCGTGCAGCATCTTGTGGAACGATACGACGAGCCGCTACGAGGTGTACGCCAATGAAGACACCAAACCAGGTGTGGGTGGGTGGTCTTTCCGTCCGTCACCTCTTGTGTGTATGTGTATATGTGTATCAGGGGAGGAGCTGTACGCGCATTCCCCTCTGCTGTCTGATGCCTCCCTGTTGGCCTACCGCGGCCTGTGGTACCCCTCACGTCACCGCATGCAAGTCACTCTCAACCTCACCGACACACTCAACCGACCAAACATGTATGTGCACGTGTGTATGTAAGCACAGGGCGCCAGCCGAGCTGGCAGTGTCTGGTCTTTACATGGATGTTTTGGTGCGGGTGGTGTGGTGTTTGGCAGATCGTCTGCGACTGTCGAGGCCATGAGGAGGCACGGGTGCATCGACGACAGCAACCAGCTCTCATTCTGGATCAAGTAAGACCACACAGCGGTCTCTTGGCAGTGTCGTCTTACTGTGCATCACGCTCTCTTCCTGCTGCCGCCTGCAGGATGATAGACAAGAAGCAGAAGATCCCTCCGGTATTGCTCTCGTGCATGCGCCTGCTCGCCGTCGCTGACACACCCAACAAGTGGGCGATTCAATGCATCCGCTGCAAGACTCCCTACCTCGCACTCCCACTCTCACTCGCACAGGTATGGCGTGCTCGAGCGGAAGAACTGGTTCGGTGCATGGCCCATCACACGACACATCAACCAGCAAAACGAGGCACAGGCCGCACAGACAGCCAAGGTGAGTGAGGTGGCTTGAGGTCTGTTCCGCCACTCATCGCTGTGTGTGTGTGTGGGTGGTTGGGTGGGTTGTCAGGCGTTGCTAGATGTGCTGTTTGACCAGCTGATGTCGGTCAACGTCGAGATCAGGGAGAAGCTGGGCAAGAAGACCACCGGCGACATTCCTTCCATGCAGGTCTGTGAGGACAACACAATACCCGCAAAGGCCTTGCAGTGGTGGGACATTCTCTGTGGCTGGTGTGGGTGGTGACTTCAGGTTCGCATGGCGGAGGTCGAGATGCTCGTCAGCCTCATCACGGTAAGCACCCGAATGTGCCTGCATCTTCGAATTCCCTTCACCACTCCCTCTTGTCTGTTCCCTCCCTTGCCCAGTCAATGAAGGACCTGGAGGCCATCGCCAGCAACCAGGTCATGTACGAGGCGTACCACGTCATGATGCTCGAGGAGTGGAAGAAGAAACACGGCACTCACACACCGCACCCATCGCTCACGACGGCCGCCGATGCCAGCGCTGACCACACTAACGCGACCGACACGACCGGCGGGGGCGAGGGAAGTGTGTTGGGGGATGCAAAAGCAGAAGCTGTGAAGAATAACGGTGTGGATTTGGCCAAGAGCAGCTGAGCCGAGTGTGTGTGTGTGTGGGTAGGTGGGCGGGTGCGGGCGGCTCTGTTGGTGGTGGTTCTGTAGAATAGGGCGTGTCTTATGTCTGCCTGCGTGTACAGAGGAAAGGCGAAGACTGACTGACGCGATACACAGACGAACGGTGTTGATAGTCAACAATGGGTGTTGGTCTTTGTAGCTGGTATTGATGGGTGGATGCATGGATGGACGGAAAGATGATAGATAGAGTGTTCAAATGTGTTCATACGGCTGTCCTGTCATCGCATCATACCCTATCGTACCACGGGAACCCCATACAAACTTACGTAGACGGACGGGCCGATGTGTGCGCACACACAGACAGACAGACAGACGGACAGCCAGATAGACAGGCATGAATGCATTCATTGACTACACGAGGGACGGGAAAATTGGCTCACGTCCTACCTGACCTACAGAGGAGGGCCATGCCATGGACACAGCCAGTCACTTAACCAGTCGGCTACCTGAAATGCACGGCCTACCTGCGATCAGTGGGTGAGTGTGGGTGATGTGGGTGTGTCCTGTCTGCAGGCACACGCATGTGTGGTGTGGCGTCTTGGTGGTACGCACACACAGACCGACACACACGTTTTATGGATGAGTGAGCCCTTTGGCCACGTGTGAAACCCACCCACCCCTCCGCCACTCTCTGCCTACAGACAAAACCCACCCACCAAAACCGCCCGCCCCACGGCAGCACAGGGGACGCACACGCACTGCACACAAAGCACACAAATACCTGTATGTCGGTGTATATATATGCAGCACGGCCAGCCATGGAAGAGAGAGACCGACAGACCTATCTGGATGAATGAGTCGGTTGATCGATCAAGCCATACATACGGTGTACAACACACACAATGATGCGCAAGTGGGTGGCGTCCCCAAGCTATGTACATAAATAGGGGACACGTCGCGGATACACAGACGCGTGTGTAGACAGACATGCTCTACACTCTACAGGCACTCAGACCTATATTTTCCCTTCATTGAGCAACCAACCTTCTGCCCAACTCGACCTGCTTGTCAAGGTCAGATCTTGCTCGCCGGCCTCTCCCGGTCGCTCCCATCCTCATTAGACAGAATGTGCAGAGAGCTGAAGTCCCGCTCGCCACGCCGCGGCCGCTGCCTGCCTGTCACGGCCACGTCGCCCACACACAGCCGGCTTCCTTTCACTTGAGGCGAGTCACACCTCCACCACACCACCCACCACACACAACACATGATGGAACAGACCTGTCGAGGCATGCCCACCCCGCCCCTCCCCACCTCACGTAGATGTCTTGTTGGGGCTGTTGCTGCTGGTGTTGCTGGTCGAGCGACCTCCTGACTTGGCGGACGAACGCGCAGCTCTGTGGATGGTTCGGCCGGTAGGGGTGGAGGGTGGCCTCGTAGCCTTTCCTTGATGCACATGCAGATGAAGATGAAGGTGAAGAGGAAGATGCGCATGGTGGCGGAAGCGATGGCGACGGACGGGGCGGCATGGAGGGGGACGGGCACGACCTGTGGCCACTGGTGCTGCTTCTGCTGTTGCTGCTGCTGCTGGTCTGCGTCGGTTCCTCGAGCTCGATTGTGTCGAGGACCTCCTCGAGGAGGTCTGAGGCCTCGCCCTGGAAGAGGGGGGCGGGGGACAGCAGCGACTCGGACAAATGGACGCTGCTGCTGAAGAGCTCACTGATGCTGAAATGAAGACACACCAGGACAGACAGACAGTGAGCATGCATCCGTCGTGCCTTGACTCCCAGGACTACACCTCACCTCGCCTCGTCTCCCCCGCTGCCCAGCGACCCGTCGCCATCATCACTCCCATCGCTACCCTCCCCATCTCCCACACCATCAAGCGCGTCGCGGCTTCCCCTCTTGGTGTGCATGGGTGTGGCGTATGCACTGTCCGGCCGCTGTGATGGCAGCAGGGGCGGGGTGGCCAGTGTGCTGATGAGCGAGGGGCTGTCGGCCAGGGAGGTCCAGGGGGAGTCGTCATGGTCACCCTGACGGCCCTCGGTTGGTGTGTCTAGGTCGATTTCTTCTTCTGCCTCCTCTGCAGATGAGCTTCCGGCCTCCTCTGTCCGCTGTATGGCGCTCTCCCACTCGTCGTTGCCATCCTCCTCATTCTCAGATACTGACAGGCAGTCAGGCAATCACACTAAAGAATGAATTGGTCTCGGACGTCTTCCGGTGTGTACTCACTGGTCTCTTCTGATTCGCCGTGCAGTGGTGATGGCGGGGGGAAGGAGGACGGCCGCCAGTGAGCACGGTAGCGGTCCACGCGACAGACTGAGTCGGCACCAGACGACGCCACAGCAACCTGATTGACGCACACACAACCATCAATATCTGTGCTGATCCTGATCGGCCCATGGCCTCCACCTGACCTGCAGTGTGTGGAGGCGAGTGAGTGAGCCCAGGAGCTGCCTCTGTATGGCCTGGTGTGCCTTGAGGAGGTCCAGGTACTCGTCCCTCACGGCAGCTATCTCCGCCTCCACATCAGCGAGGGGCGAGAGGGGCGGCAGCGGGAAGTGCCGCGGGGACGGGCTGCGGGTGGAGGTGCGCTGACACACACACACACACACGCACACAAACATCCAGACAACCAGCTCATATGACGAGTCTGTCAACACCTCATCCGAAGGAACGGACCTCTCTGGCCTTCCGCCTATCCCTATGATGGGTCTTGTCCCTGGACCGCCCGCTGACCGACGTGCTCCGCCGCCTGTGGCTGTCCCTGCTCCTGCTGCTAGTGTGGGTGGCGGAGGGCGAACAATGGCCACCGTTGCCGCCCACATCCCTCTCCCTCTCTGGCTCCCTGGCGATGCTGTTGCTGTGTGTTCGTCTGGTGCGGGACGACTGGGAGGCGTGTGGGTGGCGCCTGCCGGGCGGACAGGGGGGTGGAAAGGCCGGCGAGGGCGGCAGCATCCCTCGCAGTGGGTCAGTCAGTCAGTCACCTGCGGGCAGACAGACAAGAAACAGGCGCACACCACACATGAGAGTGTCAGTGCACTCATACGTCTGAAGTCTGGCGGGCCCCAACGGCTGGGGCAGCTGTGCTGTATCAGGCTGCCTCCTCCTGACTCACTCCCGCACTCAATTCACGCCTCTCTTGCTGTCTTCCCTTCACACGTCGCAGCAGAGCACCCAACCACACGTGTCACCAAGAGTGTCCGGGCTGGTCTGTACTGAGCTGCTTGGGTTCAAATCTGCGGCCTTTCTCCGCTGCACTCACTGCCATATCTGCCCCGATCTGCCTTGCTGAGCTCGTCTGATCCCATCCTTACCTTGTTGTTCCGGTGCGGTCGGCTCGGAGCGGCAAAGTCGCCCGCAATTGCTGGTCAGTGGATGTGTTCAGTGCGAAGCGTGACACTGTGCAGCAGCCGCAGCTTCATTTCATCCACAAGCACGATCTACTGAAAGCTCGCAGCACTGGCCGCTGTGAAAACCGCTGCTGCTGGTCGGTCAAGTCCGTTGATCTCATCTCAGGCCTGATCTGCCGATACTGCAGGGATCAGTGCATTCTCAGGAGGATTTTCACTGATGAAGGCGCTGATACTGCCGATATCGCTGCTCCTGGCGGTGTTTGCATCTCAGCCGCTGTCAGCTTTCGTCAGCCCGCCCTCGCTTCTCTCTCATCGCCTCTTGCAGAAGCACCGCGGCGCACCTTTTCTTCGGCAGACAACTCTGTCAAGCAGCGCTGTGAGCGCGCCACCCGGCGTGAAGCAGCAAGAGGGTGTGGTGGAAGCAGCGTCTGATCATGAGGACCTGCAGCGCGAGGAATCGAGAAAGGCGGGGCACTACGGGTAGGTATGCCTCACACGCGGGAAGGTCCGTCCACAGAGGGAGGTGTGCGTGTGTTGCGCTTTACACGTGTGTGTGTGTGTGTGTGTGTGTGTGTGTAGGTATACATACGACGACATGAAAGACATGGGTCCTCTGGAGATGGCTGTCCCCGCAAACGGCTGGCGGATCGGTGTGTGGAACTTCCAGCGGGAGTGGTTGGCAATAAGGCGTGCGATTCGGTACGGCGACATGGCGCCAGAGAGCGGGTGGGCCAACGCACCAGGTGGCGACGGGCCGTTCGCCGGGCTGCTGAATGTCCTGCGTCAGTGGGACAAAAACATAGAGGACGTGCTGGCCACGTCATTCAATGTGCCCAGACTGACGCCATCCAAGGTGCAGCACCCGACAGATGAAGAAACCATCCGACTGCGGCAGGTCAGCTCGGCGGCTTGCGGGGGCATCAGTCGGTCGTTCCTTGATTGACGGCTGGCTTGTGTTTGTTTCGACTTTTATCTATCATCCATTAGGAGTTGAGTCGATTGAGTCTGGACGACGATGGCGTGATAAGGAGAGAGGAGGAGAGGGTGGAGAAGATGAAGTTCCTCCTGGAGAAGTACAAGGACATGGACACCTCCAAGTACCCAGCGGATACCGGCCTGGAGATCGACCTCCAAACCATACAGACCTACTTTAACGCCCCCCTCCTTATCAAGGTCCGACAGACAGACGGAACACACACAGCAGAAGCAGGATCGTCTCGTGCGTGTGTCTTGCTGATTGACTTGATTCAGGTGCCGTATCTGTTTCTGTGCTGGCTGTTGGACCGGCTGTACGCGGGGCGGCCGATTCAGCGGTTCTGGACCCTGGAGACAGTGGCCCGCATTCCCTACATGTCCTACATTTCCATGCTCCACCTCTATGAGACACTCGGTTAGTCAGTCACTGTGTGACGCAGGCAGGCAGGCAGGCAGCGGAGAGAGAACCGTGATGGCTGATGACATGTATGTGCACGTCTGTGTCTGTCTGTCTGTGTGTGTGATCAGGTTGGTGGCGTGTGGGCGTTGAGGTGCGTAGGGTGCACTTCGCCGAGGAGTGGAACGAGATGCACCACCTGTTCATCATGGAGAGCCTGGGAGGCGACCAAGCATGGTTCGACCGCTTCCTCGCACGACACGCCGCCATCGTCTACTACTGGGTATTTTTCAGCTTATATGCCTGCGCGTGCACGCCCGCTTACGCGATGCGTGGCATGTATATGTGATATATGTGTCTTGTCTGTATGTCTGTTGGTGTGCAGGTGGTCATCTTTCTCTTCCTGATTTCGCCGACGTGGGCCTACAATTTTTCAGAGCTGGTCGAGTGGCACGCTACTGACACGTACGCCGAGTTCGTCGAACAGAACAAAGACCGACTCAAACGGGTGGGTATCCATGTCCGACGACACCTCTGTCCGTGAGTGTGCCTGATTTACGTATGTGTGTGTGGATGCTTCCCATGCAGCTGCCGGCCCCTGCTGTAGCTTTGGAGTACTACAATGGGGGTGACCTTTATCTGTTCGATGAGTTCCAGTCGTCCCGCCCGGCCGAGTCGAGACGACCAAACATCGAGTAACTAACCTAACAGACAGGAGAGTGGACGAATTCGTCTCGTATGTATTTGTCTTGTCTTTGCGTGCATGTTTCTGCATTTAGCAATCTGTACGACGTTTTTGTAACCATCCGTGACGATGAGCTGGAGCACGTCAAAACCATGTCCGCGTGCCAGCGGCTCGAGTCGGTACGCATCAAAGTGACATCCTCTGCATCTGCTTGATCCGAATGTCAATCAGTGTGTGTGTGTGCGTGTGTGTGCGTGTGTGTGACACACAGGCCATGAAGTCGCCCAACGCGGCCGCTGCAGCCGCCGGCTTGGCGCCCTGGGCGGAGCCGGACAAGGAGGAGGAGCCCGCGGGGGCCAAGTGAGGGTTGAATCCATCGACCAGCAGGGAGGCTTTTTGTGTGAGTGTGTGAGTGTGAGTGAGTGGGTGAGTGAGTGAGTGAGTGTGCAGTAGATGAGCGAGTGCATGAGCTTTCGATGACCAAATCAAGCTGTGAGAGCCAGCCGTTTGGGCACAAAATGGGATGGATGGATGGATGGATGGATGGCTGCGGGGAGTGAGTGCGTGTTGTTGTTTGTTCGTCTGACCCCCCACCCGATGATCGAATGAATGGATGGATGGATGAATGCCACCTTTTTTTCCCTTCCGTGCGTGGGGTGCGTGCGTCTGTCGTCCACTTTTCCCTCCCTCTCTCTGAGGTGACTGATATGCTGCGTGCAGTGAGTGCCTGCTCTACATACATACATATCCACCCGTCAAGTCCGGGTCGGTCCTGCCATGCATGTCGCATGGTGTGCGTGTTGCATATGGGGTCTTCTTTGTCATATATGGGAAGCTGATGATCAATTGATGGGCACCTAGCGCTCGTGAGGTAGCTGACTGACGTATATGTGGCGTGTGCGTCGAATAGGCAGTGCAGTGTCTGTTGACATTCGGGCGTGCCACTTTTTTGTATGGACACTCGGTGTTACTTGCAAGGGAACTTTCACTTCAGTGCAGATCGTTGTTCTTCCGCTTCCTTCTGCTGTGGTGGAAATGCCTCGGCGCGGACTCAACCTCTCTCCGTCGGGGAAGATCATCGCACTAGCTCGCATTCCGTGAAACTGCTCGCCGAGGAAAAAAGAGAAAGACGAATCACAATACTTCGACAAACAACAACGATGACATCCCGTTCGCACCGCGACGACCCCTCGACTGACGCCGAGATAAGTGCCCCGACGAGCAATGCAGTGGTGGACGTCCCCAAGGACGGGCAGGAGCAGCACGAGGACATGCGCCGCAGCCTCATACACGAAGATGCGCTCAATGGCGGCGATGCCGCCGACAGCGAAGTGGACGAGGGAGAAGGACAGGGCGAGGGAGGCGTTGTGGTAAGTCAGCCACACACACACACACACACACGCACGCACAAGACAGCAATGACAATCGTGATTTGAGGAGTACCCACGAGATTGCATGTGTGGTGTGCTGTGTGCTACTTACTGTGTGTGTCCAGGTGAGGAGGTTGGGTCAGACGACTGTTGTGTTTCTGTTGGCTTTTGTGGTCATCATCACGGGGGCTTTCAACTACGTCACGGGCAAGATAAGGGCCAAACCGCTGGGTGCATACGATGTGAGTGAGTGGGCTGCACGGGGACAGACATCGACCCAACGACGGACGGCCATGAAGTACTGTTGCTTGGCTTGCTGTGTGTGTCAGTACTTCGTATCCTTGTTCAACTCGATGGCCTACTGCGGCCTCTACTGGGCCATACTGGTGAGTGAGTGTCCATAGGAACACGTGACGGCATAGATTCACCACCACTGCCTTGGTGGATATACGTGTGTTGTGGTGTGATCCATTCAGTTGGTCCGCATCGTCAGCGGTCAGGTGACCCCCAAGCAGCTGAGCTACGTGTGGCGCAGCGAGGTGCCCTCCAGGCCTTCATCATTCGCTGGCGGGGCCTGGAAGTGGTTCGTCCTCACTGGTAGGCCACACCATTGATCCCACCGACCACAAACACAAACACGAACACGTATGCGTGTCTGTGTCTGTGTGTGTGTGCAGGTCTGTTTGACAGCTGCGGCAACATCTTGGGATTCATCAGCCAGCCGTACGTCAGCGGAGCCGTATACAGCCTGATGAACCAGACCATCGTGCCCTTCACGGCCATCGTGTCGATGATCATGCTGGGGAGGAAGTACACACTCTGGCAGGTCTGCGCCATCACCGTCGTGGTCTGCGGGGCCATCCTGGCCCTCGTCCCCGACCTCAGTGCCCACCCCACCGGCGGCAGCTCACACCACATGCATGCCTCGGAGTCCCTGGGGTTCGCCCTCCTCACCGCTCTGTCGACGCTGCCCTCCGCTCTGTCCTTTGCTCTCAAGGAGAAGATCTTCCGCAAGTACGCCCACCACCACCATGGGGGCGACGGTACGCCGCCCGAGTCGCTAGACCTCTTCGTCGTTAACTCACATGGGAGCCTGTTTGGGCTGCTGTGGGTGCCGCTCGCACTGCCCCTCAACATCGTCTTCGGCCAGGTGCGCATGGGAGGGTCGGGCGCGTGATTCGGTCGGGTCGATGCACTTGTGTCCATGTCTCTCTGTGTTGTGGGCGTTCATTCATTCAGACAAACGGTCAGCCGTTGTCTCAGTACGTGGTGGACGGCTTCTCGTGTTTCGGTGGCGTGACGCCCGACAGCTGTCTGTGCTACGAGCGCAACTGCCAAGCGTGGGGGTGCTGCAAATACGCATTCAGCACTTACATGGTCTATGTAACGGTAAACCTCGCATTCAACATCTTCCTACTTGGTACGCAACAAACACACAAACGTGGCTCAGTCAGTAGACAGACAGGGATTGTGACATTGTGTCATGCGTGTTTGTGTGGGTGCGGTGCGGTGCGGTGCGTGTGTGTCAGCTTTGCTTAAGGTGGGGTCGGCCCTGCTGGCCTTCATCTGCCTCAAGGTGGGCTCGTGTGTGTGATTGACTGGCCGAACACGTACCTTGGCGTGTCTGTGTTGTTGGCCAGGCTGTGTTGCCCTTATCGATTCTGCTATTCGCCGTGTATCCCTGGCCGCTGCTCGACCAGAGTGACACCAGAGTCACGCCATACACATGGGTGAGTGAGTCGAAGAAGGGCAGGGAGGAACCGATGGATGCGGTGGTGTTGGCTGGCTCTTCCTGCAGGTGAGTCTGGTGATCATCTTGGGTGGTGTGGTGTGGTACAAGATGACCGACATACACAAGGAGGCCATCAAGAAGAAAAAGTTCGAGGGCCACGAGCCGCCATGCCTGTGGCCCCTCCCCCTCTTCAAACGGTCAGTCAGCCGGATGCATCCACTCACGGCCCAAAGCACAACCACTGCATGTCGATCTGCATGCATGGCTGCGTGTGTCAAGGGGTGCTGCAGATCTCCTGGCGTCCGCCAGCCGTCGCGTCTGCCGTCGTCGGCGCGCAACGACACCCACTGAGAGCCGCACGCCGCTCACACAAGAGGGGGAGGACAGCAGTGACCCCGCAACCACCGCTAGAAGGGCGCATGTGCCTGGGAGAAAAGACAGCTAGCTCAGCTGAGCAGCCAGAGAGAGAGAGAGAGAAGATCTGGCCGGCGGTCCCCGGGAGTGGGAGGCGGGTGTACGGTGTACGATAAAACACACACGCCACGCCATGGGCAGGGCAGGCTGATCATGCGACTGACGAGAGGGAGTTTCTTGGTGGGTTGGTCGGTTTGGTGTTGTTTGTCATGTGTTGTGTTGAGCGTGTACATACATAAAGATCCAAAGGTATGAGTGACTGTCTTCCTCTCGAGCCAGGCTCGGTGTACATTTCGTGTTTGCAGCGACTCACATTCATGGACAGTGCATGGCTGAGCCACGACGCTGTCTCGGTTTGTCTCCTCTTGTACTGCATGGGGCGGCTCGGGAATCGGGATGGCTATGCCGTCGAGAAACCTGACGTTGAGAACTACGTTGCTTCGATCGCCCTCGCCCCCCGCCTTTGGGGCCCGTTCTCCCTTCAACCCGTCCAACAAAAGACAATTTGACGGTCATGCGTGCATCAGCGCCCAGCGTAGCCTTCACGGAAGGCGCCAAGGCCCCTCCAGGATCCCTCACCACACGCGAGGCGCCTCCCTCGTCACCCCCCACACGGCAATTCAACGCCGATGACATGCAGTTCGTGGGAAGGAGGTAAACCGCCGCTGCGTCCGAGATGCATGGCGTGAACACATGACGCACACGTGACGTGTCTGCCTGTGTGTGCTGCATCCAGTCACCATGCGGCCATCCGTGAGCTCACCGACCGCATCTCCGAGTCGGTCAACATGCTGTTCAAAGCCCCGGAAAGGCCCGAGACTTCCCCCCAACGCAAAAAGGGCGACACGCAGCAGCGCGGCAAGACTCCGACCACAGCGGTTCACAAGAGCATCAAGGTCAAGACCAAGGAGCAGGAGTATATGGAGGGCAAGAAGCCGGGTATGGTGGATGAGCGGAGGGGGGCAGGTGAGGAGGAGAGCGACAAGGAGGACAAGGACAGTGAGGAGGAGGACGAAGAGGAGTCCAGCGAGGAGGACTCGGACGACGACCACTTCCTCGACTTCACACCTGACGACATCTTCGACTTCGGTCAGATGGGTGGCTGGAATGGTGTCTCCCTCCTCTCCTTTCTCATACATGCGATTGGGTGCATGGGATGCTTGCAGATGAGGGTGACTGGCAGGTGGCGAGCTCCAAGCAGACGGTGTCTGGCCTGCTGGAGTCGCTCAAGACGCAGCAGCGGCAGGAGGTCATGTACGACCTACACAACTGGTTCGCAGGAAAGGCCAAGGGAGTCGACGACGAAATCGTTAACCTCGACAAGTACGCACGGGGGCAAAAACAGCCGAGATACGCATCCGGTTTACATGCAACAGGCTGGAGTTTGACCGTCAGCGCAACTCTGACGACCTGAAGACGGCGCAGATGGCAGTCGAGTCTCAGCTGGACGACAAGGAGATGCACGCCTTCGCCGTGCTCAACAAGTTCTACAAGGCCCTCCACACCCTCGGGCAGAAGAAGGCCAAGGGCCCCGGCCTCGACAAGCCCATCGGCTTCACCGGCCTGACCATGGATGAGATCAAGGAGGCCGAGCTGGAGGTGGACCTGCAGAGCCTCAGGCAGCGGCTGCAGCAGAAGGAGGAGGAGATCGTGGACGCGCTGAAGCGCGCTACTGAGATGGAGGGCATCGAGGGAGCGCCGCAGCCACCCTCTGCGTCAGACATACTGGGGGTGATTGCTGTGCAGCAGGATGAGCTCACCGCACTCAGGTGAGGGAATGAGACAGATAGACACATAAAGGTCCATATGCATGCCGCTGGCTGCAGCACCCGTGTTGAGATGAACGAGCAGCGTTTGAAGATGCTGCGCAAGGCTGTTGACTACCTCCAGAACCCCAGCGACCATGAGGTGAGGCGCAACATCCTCACAGACTCTTTGTCTATCTCACCTCTGCTGTGTGTGCGCGTCAGCAAGTGGAGGAGGGCGTCAAGCAGTTGATTGAGGACATCCGTAGGAAGGTCCGAGACGCCAAGATAGCAGAGCTCCTCTCCAAACGAGACACTACAGCAGACGTACGTCAGTAGCACGACCACATAGACATGACCCACTGCTGTGGTTGCTTGCAGGAGTCAGAAGCGCCAGACGAGGGAGAGGTGCGTGCGTTAGAAGAGGAGGTGAACGGTCTCAAGAGACAGCTGGGGTCACTCGAGACAGAGATCAAGGCACTCAAGACACCCGCTGAGAGGGAGGATGAGCTCAAGCAGCGACTCAAGTCACTACAGCAGGGTAAGCAAGAACGAGCACCGAGACACGATGCGAGAGGGGCATTGATCCGTGTGTCGCTTCGGACATGCAGGCCGGTTTGACGATGGGACCGAGAAGGGCGAAATGATCGATTTGGGTGAAGACCTGACCCTCGAACAAGCTCCTGAACTCAAAATCAAGCTCACAAACGGTACAGTACACGCAGCGCCGAACAGGACATTGAAACATGCTGTTCTTCATTCCGTCCTCTTTCAGAGCTGACTAAGATCCAGAATGAGAATCTGCGGCTGAAGGGGCAGCTGCGGAACTACGAGGTCAAGAAGTGACCAATCCAGCCCTCCATGTCGATGTGTGGCGAGAGAGGGTTGGAGTGGGTTGAGTGAAGTTGTACTGTTTGTATGGTTGTGTTGGTCAGCATTTGTTGTCGACAGCTGAGGCCACACTGCAGCAGATGGAGGACCAGAAACGAGCATTCCTCGACGCTATCGAACATGTATACATGCATGTGCATGGATCGACAGACATGTACATGTGCGTGTACTTGTTTCGAATGCGCTCACAGTATTTTCTCGATTCCTCCGCCACACGACCGGCCGTCTCTGTGTGTGTCTTTTTTGATGTGATTGTAGGCGAAGGAGGCAGTGCGTGACGAGGCGTCGAAGGAGCGGGCCAAGCAGAAGGCGGCCGCTGAGGCCGCCAGAAGACAAGAACTCCAAAGACAGAGAGAGGAGGTAGGTCAGTCATAGACACAGACCGATAGACAGAGACATCTTCATTGATTCCATGTGCATGCAGGCAGCAGAGGCAGCGTGTAAGAGTGTGTCAGCACATGTACAGTGTGGCAGCATGTAAGAGTGTGTCTCCTTTCTGGCAGCCAAGAAGGCTGAGGAGGACCTGGCGGCACAGCTCAAGGACGAGGAGACCACACTCCGCGGGGAGATCAAGCGACTCGAGAAGCAACTCGAATCCCAGCAACAACTCGCAGAGAAGCAACAACAGCTGACGCAACAACAGCAGCGAAGTGAGTCATCTGGCAGCTCTAGCGAGGCGGGAAGGAGTGCGGGCGACGCGGCAGAGGGAGCGGGAGGTCAGCTGGAAGATGAGGGGGCCGACGACGAGGGATCTGAGGGCGAGGGCGGCGTTGAGTCAGAAGATGAGGAGCTCAAGAAACTGAAGGAGGTGAGGTAGAGAGTGGGCAAGAGGTGGTAACGTCATCGCTTCAATGTGTGTGGCATACATGTGTGCGCAGGAGAACGCTGAGTTGTTGCAGCTGATTGACGAGCTCGAGAGACGCCTGCAGGATGCGGACGAGTAAGTTAACAACGATGAACGGCCCTGACTTACGCAATGTGGCTCTCTTCACTGATTCGATGCAGTCGCAAAGCGGCCGCTGCACCACTTGCCCTACCAACCGTAGGGGTAAAAGAGACCCCCTGCTGTTTGGCTCTTTCCCATTCTATTCAAATCTGTCTGCAGGTCGGTGGCGGTCTGTCTGCGCCATCCTCATCGGCCGCTCCTTCTTCCGCGCCATCGCCCCCTCCTGCGCCAGCAGCAGAGACAGCTCAGCCCGCCCTGCCCAGTGCACCCAGCAAGGCAAGCTCCTCATCACACGGCAAAGGCGCACCAAAGCCACCATCTAGCAGCAGCAGCAGCAGCTCTCGCGGTGTCGGTGGTGGCGTGTCCTCAGCCGCTAGTGCACAGGGCGATGAAGCCGAGGGGGAGATGGGGGAAGAGGGAGAGGAGGTGGCTGGCGAGGAGGAGAGGGAGGGCTCGTCGGCCCGTGGGTCCGTCAAGTCGTCTGCGTCGAGTGCCAGGGGCAGCGACAAACAGTCGATCAAAGGCTCTGGCAGCAGGTAGAGGCTAAGCACAACAACAGAGCAAACAGCCCCGGACTGTCTGCTTTGTGTGTCAGTGGGGCTGCATCGGTGCGCAAGGAGGCCTCCAGCTCCGCCCACAGCCAGGAGAGGCCGGCCGCTGCACAACCACCGCCGCCACCAGCTCCAGTAGCACCGCAGAAGGGCCCACCGGCAGCACCACAAGTGCCCGACCAAGCCACCGTCCAGTCACAGGAGCAGAAGAAGCAGGAAGAACGGAGACATCATGTAAAGACGTGTGTATTGTCCGGTGCTGTCAATGAATGTATTCATTGTGAGTATGGTGCTGTGCCGTGCGGTGTGGTTAGGAGATGGAGGAGCTGCTCAAGGTGCAGCAGGAAAACCTGGAGCTCGCCAGACAGATAGAACTGATAGAGAAGAAAATCAAGGCCGTCAAGGTAAGGCTAATCCAGTAAAGACCGCAACCCCGACACACAGTCCGTCCTTTGCTTCCTTAATGCGTAGGCGAGTAAGGGCCCGGTAGACATCGCCATGCTCCAAGAAGGCACAGAGACAGGCGAACAGGTCAGCCACAAACACGGATACACGCACACACACGCGTGTCTCCACATGTACATGTGAGTGCAGGAAGTACCTAAGCAGAATTTGGAGTTGCGCAAGGAGGTGAAGAAGAAGCAGTGGGAGCTCAACCTGCTGAGAAAGAAGTGGTGGGTGGAGAGGCAGGCGGCTGAGCAGACCGCCAAGGCCATGCGGGAGGCGACAGACTTTGGCGTGGAAAAGAGAGCAAACGACGAACAACTGGCGTGAAGGACAGCGGGCGATAGCCCATAGCTACGGATGGAGGGAGGCGGTATTTTTTCTCTACACATACATGGCATGCACCTCTTTGTGTGAGCGAGCGATGGACTTTTTGGACCGGATGCGGCGCAGTCCAAAACACGCTATACACATGTCTGTGCGCGCAGAATTGGCCACGCATCTCACCACGTGTGCTTGCATTATGTGTGTGGTATGGCTTTGGGACTGACTGCATCAATGGATTCAACGAGGTGCCATTAATGGCGGGTCTCTGCACAGGCAGACGGCTGCACACACCATTCATCCATCCATTACACACGGACACACACACACACACACAACAGAGACAAATAAAGTGTGCCATAATGAGGTGTGCCGGCAGAGGGAGAGACATGAAGAAGAAGACAGCGATGCGATGGTGGAGGAGGAGGAGGAGATGACGGTGGGAGGCTTAAGTGGGAGGAGTATAGCTGACTGTAGCGTTTTAAGCACCGTGCTGCCATGCCATCCATGCACGAGACGCTCTCACGTCGCTTTGCGTCCGTCAGAGATTCATGGTTGCAACCTCCATGAATGAGTTCATGGTGCCGTGCCTTCCGTTTGTGTTGAATAGGTTGACTTGACATTCATTCACATGAACCGCGCAATCTTCGCATAGACATCCCTATCCTGCACGCCGACATCCATCCCATAGGTATCCATTTTCCTAGCTAGCTATACATCCATCCATCCATACAGCATGCCATGCATCCCTCTACTATCCTTCACATTACACTAACCGCCATCTCTCCTCGTTGGCTTCATTACCAGACCAGCCCGCCAGCCAGCCAGCCAGCAGTGCCATAGCAGGTGTGAGAACGTTGTGTGTCGGTGGTCGACTGGCTGGCAAAAATGAACGTTGCTCGGCTCGGCTCGCCTCGCCGCATCTTGCCGGCTGCACAGGCGTCCGTCCGTCCCTCACACGGCTTTCTTGGTCGCAGTGATCATGCCGTACTGCATCAGACCCTCCTTGAAGGCCTGCATGGAACACACATACACGCGCAAGCAACAGCCATGAACGTAATCAATCATACACGCGTGTGCTGCAGCAGGCAGGCTGTTACGTTACCTGATGCATTCTGTTGAGGCACCAGGCGTCACGCACGCACTTCCAATAGAACCTGGCCAGCCAGATTCACACGCAGAGAGAGACATACGTTTGGTTGACGTGTGCAGGTGTAGGTGGTTGGTGGTGCTTGTACAGACTTCGGTTTGGTGAGCCATGGGAGAGGGTCTTTGATGCCCAGCCAGATCTGGTGTCGCCAGCTGGGGAGCGTCTGCTGGGCCCAGTCGGCCGTCTCGATGTTCTCCATCACACCTGACACACAAGCAATCGATCAACATACTGGTGGGAAGGCGTGGTGGGTTTGGTGGGTGTGTGGCTACTTACCTGTGTCTTGCAGCATCTCGACAAACTGGGGCACTGATGTGAAGAAGGGATGGCTCCACTCTGCAGTGCATTGCACCCCACTCACACACGCAATGGATGGATGCGTTCACCACGCATGCACACATCCACATACACACCGACCGGAGTATAAGTAGTCGAGTCTTCTCCGTTCCCGCTTGGTGAACGGCTTGTCGGTGTCGTCACGTTGGCTCCATACAGCCACCACCTACACATACGTACACACATAGATAGATGTACCACACACACACCAGCCATAGTTGTCTGTCGACATTGCCGGCTGGCTGCTGTGGTCACCGACCAGTCTGCCGCCTGGCTTGAGCACACGCGTCATCTCCTGGATCGCCCTGTGCACACACAGACAGACAGACACAGACAGACAGACAGAAGTGCCCCTCTGTATGTGTGAGTGTGTGTCGAGTAGAGTTGGTTCACTTTTGTTTGTCGGGCATGTGCTCTGTCGACTCGCAAACCCACACAAAGTCGAAGGTGTTGTCGGGGACAGTCATCTTCATGCCATCCATCACCTACAAACACAGACACACAGACAGACAGACACCCGGCAAGCCGCGTGTAAGCGAAGGCTTGTCCGCCTTCCCTCCCGACACACTCACCATGAATTTGCAGCTGTCAGACACGCCCTGCTCTGTGGCCAACTCATTCGCACGGGCGATCTGCTCACACACATACACACACATGCAGGACGATCCCACCCCACACAGCCTTCTGTGTGCTGTCTGCTTACTTGGTTGGGCGAGATGGCGATGCCGAGTATTCTTGATTGTGGTCCGAATGCCTTAGCGAGAATCCGTGCAGTGCCGCCGATGCCGCAGCCGAGGTCCAATGTGTCCTTCGGAGGGTTGAAGACGTCAACCTTGGCGAACTCCAACATCTTGAGGACGAAATCGTCCTTGGCCTGGGTCAAAGACAATCCGATACATGGGCGCCCCCACGTCACGTGTGAGGGTGCATAGCATGTGTGGGTGGCGTGTTTGCCTGTTTGAAGTCTTTTCGCCATGAGCCCTTCCGCCTGTCTTCATCATCATAGTACCTGAGAGGCAAGGCAAGCAGAGCAGCCGGCATCATTGCAATTCAGCGGCAGGGTGGGTGAATGTGTACGTGACGTGGTTTGACCTCACCCACCCGAGGTGGACGTGTTCGCCCCAGTAGTGTTCGAGTATGCCTTCCTCTGTCCACGCATCGTACTCGCGAGCCACAGACCCTTCCGCCCTCTGATTTACAGCAGACAGACACACATCGGCGTCTTCGTCGTGGATGGATGCGTCGGGGACCGTGCATTCTCACGTCGTATGGTCTGCTTGGCGTGTCCAGGACCTTCTTGACAGCCACACCAGCAGCCAGCGCCGCCACACCAGCGGCAACTGAACCCACCACAGCACAGCACACATGTGACCCTCAAGATTGATTCATTCATCGGGTGGTGCTGCACTGCCTCACTGCCTGCCTCACCGCCCATCCCAGCAGGTGTCTTTGAGAAAGTGGCTGCCTTCTCGGCCACCTTGACGGCCACCTTACTCGCATCGCCAGCCACCTTGCTCGCACTCTCAGCGACCTTGGTGGCGGTCTCGGCCACCTTGGACAAAGTGGATGCCTTCTCGGCCACCTTCACGACCTCGGTACCCGCACTCGCACTCTCGGCCACCTTTGTCGCGGTCTCAGCCACCTTCGCGGCACTCACCATGCGCAACTGGCGTGCATTTGGCCGGCGTCGTATTGATGGTGGTGCTGTATCAAGGCCATTACGTAATCTTGGTGGCTGCAAACACGGCACGACATTCAAGATCCATCGATCATAGAGGACTTGCAGGCGTCTGTGTGTCTGTGTGTCTGTGCATCTGCATACCTGTGCAGAGGAGGCGATGAAGAGAGGGGAGTGTCGTGTAGATCTGTGCAGAGAGGAGGACGCGCTGACGGTCCTCCATGCTGCTAGAAGGGAGAGCGCTGCAGCCCAGCCAAGGCTTCCCATTGTCGGTCTCCTCATGAGTTTATATCGTCGAGGTTTAGGGTTTGTAGGGTGTAGGGTTTTGTTTGGCTCGCAAACGGGAAGGACACAACCCAGAGATGAAGAGAGAATGGGAGAAAGCTGAGCTCGAACAGGTCAGTTTCTGTCGCGCCACAATGAATTTGCAATGCACAGCCGATGGACAGTGACGGACAGACTGAGTGTCACGGTGGTTGCTGCGCCTGTGTGTTCGTCAGGTCACGGGCAAGCTGCAAGAGGCCGCGCATTTCTTCTCCCGCTTTGCCGCGGCAGAGAAGGGCCTCGAGGACTATCTCAGGAAGGCTGACACGCCCCAACTGTCGGAGGTGGCCCGGACCATTGAAGGGGCGGCCGAGGGACTTTCCAGAGGAGTGCAGGGGCTCAAAAGGACCTGCGAGGAGCTTCATGACACAAACGCTTCACTGGAGAGGCAGAACGAGTCACTGCTCAAGAAGACTGAAGAGCAGGAGAGTGAGAATGCAGCCCTGAGGGAGAGGCTGGCCTCCTATGTCGGGGTGGAGCGCTCTCTGCCCCCAGACACCTCTCTGGAGTCGTATCTCGTGCTCAAGAGGGAGCAGAAGTGGGCAATGAAGGAGATGGCCGACATGGAAGAGGCTCTTCAGCTGGTGACCAAGCAAAGGGACGCGTTGATCGAGGAGACCGAGAAGCATCGCGAAGGGGCCGAGAGGAGTCACGAGGCCCTCGAGGAGTCGCTGAGCGTTGCGTGGCAGCATCTCGAGGCGCGCAAGGGCCTGGTGGCCAAGATAAAGGAGGCTGACGAGAGGGAGCAGGCGCTCAAGTCGCTGCTGGACAAGGAGAGGCAGCAGGTGCGTGGGTTAGAGGAGGAGTGCGACAGGATGCGGAGGCGGATGCGGGCTATGCGAGCGTCGCAGAGGCGGCAGGCTGAGGACTTCAACGTTCAGCATCGGGCGCTGCAGGAGCAGGTCCGGCTCGTTGGCCTAGAGCCGGTGATGCCCAGGTAGGTACACAGATAGATACACAGATGGTTGGCGTGCATGGCCCTGATTGTGTGTCTTCATGTGGACGTCTGTGGTCTATCTGCAGAGGGCTGATGCGGTTCGTAACAAAGCATCCGCATCGCCAAGAGGCGGAGCCTCCGCCCTCTGACGAGGCGGCTGACCGACCTACTGTCGATGAGACAGCCGATCAGCCTGTCACCGTCAGCAAGGACGAAGCGCCGAGAATGACAGAGCATCCCTCCCTCACCTCACTGGCCCACCGTCAAGCGCCTGTCTCTCAGCCGCCGTGCGTTGACAGAGATGAAGACTCTGAGAAGCATCCTCCTCCGGCCCCTCCTCTGGACAGGCGCTTTGGTGGCTACGGAGACGTGGAGCCCGTGTCGCCCCCATCAAAGCATCAGCCAAAAGTGCGGAAAGTCCGGCGGAAGCGAGCCAGACAACAGCCAGTGGTGGCTCAAAAGCGGACCTTCTCATCGACCAGCAGTGGCCAGCTGGTGCCTCCCCTCCCGTCGAGCCACCCCGCCGTTGGCCGTGTGTCTGATCAGCGTAAGCCCACGGACATGTCTTCTTCCAGCGGGCTGAGTGGTGTGGGTCAGCAGCTCCTGCAGGAGAGGATTGCCGTGCTGAAGGCGCTGGACCAAGTGAGGGCTGGGGAGAAAGAGGGGAGTGTGGACAATGGTCATCATCAACGGCGAGTGACACGGCTGAATGCAACGAGCAGCCTGGCGTATGATAATCGGGGGAGGGCTGTGGGCAAGACAAGTGGGATGGGGAAGCGGGTGTCGAGTGTTCGTCTGATGCCATGATGACACTGACCGAGAGTCTGCCAATGCATTCATCGATGGACTGACTGATGGGTGGGTGGGTGCGTAGCAGAGGTCGTTGAGTGTTGTTCGATATACGCCTTGCCTTGGACGATCGTCGTAATCGATTCACCAGTGAGTTCTCTCTTTCCCCCTTACACACACACGCTCCTCTCAAGCAATGGGTGGCCTGGCCAGCCCACACACCAGGCAGACAGACAGACAGGCTTGCGATAGAAAACCATTCAGCACCCACGCAACCGCGTTTGATTCGATTCCTCGATCGACAACTCCATCAGCAGACCACCACCCCACCCCACACTGATACTGATACATCCATCCATCCACGCACATTACATTCATGTCTCTCTGTCTTTGTCTCCTCCGCCCTCCGTCAGTGAATGAATGAGTCATCCCATGGCGGGCTGCGGCGTCGGCTCCCTCGGCTGCTTCGGCTGCCACATATACATCGGCGGCCGCCCCGGTGTGCGAGGGGGCGGATGGCACGCAGGGTACCCTGGGAATGCTGCCGGCAGATACACAGGCGCAGGGCCACCCACATGCGGTCGAATCGGCACCATACCCCCGAATATGTTCACACCAACAGCACCAGCACCGGGAGGGGGCGGGGGCGGGAAGGGATACATGGCGGCGGCGGGCTGGGCCGCGGGCGGACGCACCGCAGCGGCGACGGGCAGCAGGTTGGCCTGGCTGTGCGCCTTTTGCATGAATGGCGGCAGCGGTGCGCATGGGAGGGGGATCTGCACGGGGAACGGGTTGATGTGTCGGGGCAGGAGGGAGCGGAGGACGGAGCACGTCATGGGGAAGTAGAAGGACAGCCGGGTCACCGGAGAGGCCGGGAAGGGGGGCTCGGGCACGGAAGACCCCGACGATGTCTCGTTCAGCCTGAAATGCAGTGCATCCATACACACGTACAGAGAGAGACACCATCGATGGTGTGTGTGTGTGTGTGTGTGTGAGGGAGGGAGGAAGGGAGGTGTGAATGCTTGCTGACATGATTGCCTGATCGACGAGCCTGTATCCCTCCTGATAGGCAGCCTCCACCTGTGTCATCGACGGCCTCTTGCTCGGCAAATGCTGGGTGGTGTCGTGCATCAACCGCACAAAGTGACACAGCACCGCGTCCAACCCCCGCACGTCCGCCCGCTGCATCAGCGGCATGATCGACCAGCCCTTCCCCTTGCCGCCCTTCTTGGCCTTCTTCTCGTCCCCCTCGAGCACCTCAGGGGTGAACTCCTCCCTCGTCTCCATCTGCGACAGAGAGGGGTGGTACGCCCCTGTGTGGTGGGGGTCGGTGGGTGGGAGGGAGAGGTCGAGGAGCACGGCGAGGGCGGTGCGTTTGTCCTTGTACTCGGGGTTGCCCCAGCTAAGCAGCCGATTGAATTCGTCCTGGGCCCGAAGGAGCCGGTGTTTGGACGAGAGGGCCTCCTTCTGGGGGCCCTCCGACATGGCGTCCACCTCCTCGTACCGCTCGCGCCACTCGGGCTCGTCCTTGAGCACGCCATCAAACCCCTTACCACCTGCAGTGCAGACACACAGAAAGGTATGAGGCACAAGTGTGTATTGTGCGCATTGGCGTTGACGGACATATATACCGGTGAGGATGAGTGAGAGCTTGACGCTCTCGACCCAGACGAGGGTCTTCTCTGAGTAGAGGATGGAGACCTGCTGGTTGGAGTCCTTGTGCACCGCCTCCCGCCTCAGGGCCTGCAGATATCCGCCATGCCTCTTCTCTATCGACTGCAGGCGCTCCACCAGCGGCTCCTGCTCGATCCGCGATATCTCCCGCTTCAGCTCGCGGATCTCCCTGCTGACGTTGCCCAGCACCTCCCGGTCCTGCTCGCCACGCACGTCCGTCTTCATCTGCTCCTTCGTCTCCTTGAGCGACTCCAGGCGCTTGCGAAGCTCATTCGTCTGCCGCTCGATGGCCTTCTGCTCGTCGGATGTGAGATCGTATCCGTAGTGCTGTTTGAGGATGGAAGGGGAGCGCCTCATGTTCTCAAGCGTTGCCAGGGCTTTCTCGGGCGCCGTCTGGGGGGACACAGAAATCACAGGCAGGGGCGACAAAAGGGAATGTGGCTCTGGCTCATTGGAGTACTTACTTTGTATGGCGTCATTGCGGGGAACTGTCCAACGGCACTCTGCTGCGCGAGGTACGGCGAGACGTAGATGTGCACCTGGGGCACCCCCGCCACCCCATGGACGTCGTTCCACATGTCCATACTGTTGCCCCAGTCGAGTATGCGGATGCGACACTTGCGCACAGGCACCAGGCCGTCCCTCTCCCTCTTGGTGTCGGCCGCATTGCCGTCGGTGCTGCTGTCATGCTCGAAGACGCAGATGACGTCGGCGAATGTGCTGTCGATGCAGAGGAGGCCGATGGCGGCGAGTTTGCGGTGGAGGTAGAGGGTTGTGTGTGTGACGTGCAGCATCTGCTTGAGGGTCGACAGCAGAGAGAGGGGCGGCAGCGTGTGCAGCATCGTCGACGCCATTCGCAAATACGACTGCAGCTTCTCACCTGAAGCAGAGAAGCCGAGACACGTATGCATTTCCTTCCCCCAGACAGATGAGATGAACAAAACAATCTCCCCCGCCCCCCTTCACACACCCACCCACACAGACAGACAGACCTTCGATGTATTCCATGGCTATGCAGTAGACGAGCTGGTCGTTCTCATTGGGTCTTTCCCATCTCCCCTCGCCAAAGAAGAGCACCTCAGGGGCCGGGCATGGCTCGTTAGGGTATGCATGTCGCCACCGCAACACCACGTCGCAGAGCCTCTTGGCCTCGACCTTTGACATCTGTAGCTTCATGGCGCTCTCGTGCATGGCCACGACCTTGACTGCGATCAACCTGTACACCCACGGCGGGGGAAGACCGGGCACCGCCGCACCCTCCTTCATGTGCAGCTGTGCCTGCGGCACAGCACCGGGCTTCTCCTTGGCCTTCTTGGCACAGATGGTGGGGAGCAGCGCCTCGAAGGTCCGGCCGTGAGCCCCGGTGCCCAGCAACCCGCCCAACACGAGCTGATTGAAGCAAAGCATACAGAAAAGCAGAGCAGCCTCTTACATGGACGGGGTCGCCTGAGCCAACAAAAACACCTATGTGTTACCTCTGCTGGCATGTCTGGGAGCTTCTGCGTGGACCAGGGCGGCGTGCCTCGCGTGTGGAAGGTGATCTTGCCGTTGACATGATCGGTGCTCGTGGGCGGAGTCATCGAGGGAGAGGATGGGGAGGGATGGAGAGGGAACGGGGCTGAAGGGAGAGGAAGGAAAACGGCGGGGACGCAAGCTTAGCTAGCAGTCTCCTGGCGAAAGACGCTACGTTCGCACGTCTTGGTTGCTCGTCGTAGTGAGTGAACGAAGCAAGGACATCGGCCCCCAGATCGTCCGTCTCCTTATGCGAGCTCACGCGCAGGCAGCCTGAGGAAGCCAATTGGAGGAAAGCACAAAATGAGTTGCCGGGTGCTCCAAGTGCTCGTCAGCCCTGCCCGTATGGGCCACACATCTGCTTGGCCGTGTGTAGCGATGGATCTTCAGTTGCACAGGCGAGGCATCCAGCACCGCTGCTTCGCGTCACGAGCACGGAAGCGACGCAAGAAGAACCACATGGCGTATCCCATCAAGCCTCCAACGTGAGCTGAATGAATGAATGAGTTGCTGCACGGCCTGCAACAGATCCATCCATCCATCATTCGCTGCTGTTGTTCGACATATGTTTGGATACCTACCTGCCTGCACAGCAAGGTGCTTCGTCCCGACACGGACTTTCCCAAGGCAGTGCTGCGGCGGCCTGACAAGGTGCCCATGCTGAGTCGCGAGGACATCCCTGCGCGGCCAGTGAGGGACCTCAGCGAGATGAGCGACGAGGGCGATGCCCAGGACGGGATGAGACCCATCAAACCACATGAGGTGGGTGAGTCAGTGGGGACGGCGGCTTTGTCGTTCGCTGGCGGGTTGCATATTGCGTATCTATCTATATGTGTGGTGCGATGCGATGCGATGCGATGCAGGTGGCCCAGATGTTTCGGAGGGATGAGAGGACCGTGGGGGCTGTCGGGGACAAGATACGCCACCCTGTGAGTAGGGATGGACACTCACACTCTCACACACGCAGACAGACAGACAGACACATAAATGTGCGTGTGCACATGACATCTGCACATGTTATATGTTTTATTGTGTTGGCTGTCCGTGAACCCATCCTACAATACATGTGTCAGTCGGTGTTGAAGCAACAGCTGCCTCGGGAGATCAAGGACATCAAAGAGTTCTCTGTCGACGACATCGACCCAAAAAAGTCAGTCAGTCAGTCACCACAATGAGCGCCGACACACACACACACACACACAGAGTCTCGCCCGGGTCGTTCATGTGTATGTGCAGGCGCCCGGAGCTGCAGAAGTTCTGGTACATGCCAAACCCATTCAGGCCGCAGGTCCTTTCTCCCCCAGACCCACAGAGGCCAAGCCATGAACCATCTTATCTTCCTTTTTTTTGTGTAGGGCACCACTGCAGCTTTGAGCGACACCGAGTACTACCGTCAGTTCTTCGCCGACAAGGACCGCGCCCTGGACGGCCGGCAGAAGGAGTACGAGGCCATGCTGGCCGATGAGAAGAGCCAGGAGGACAAGGAGGGGCGGGCGGGGGTGGCTCGCGTGCGCGTCAAGCCGTCTGCCTACTGGATAGACGAGGGCTACTCGACGCCCGAAATCGGGGCGGTGCCGTTCATGCAGAGCATGGAGCTGAGGAAGGCCATGATGAACGAGGCTTACAATGTCCGAAAAGGTGAATATATCTAAGAGAGAGGGCGGATAAATGGGAATGGGCATGGTGTGGTGTGGGGGGGCTGTGCTGTGCTGTGCTGTGTGTGTGAGTGCAGGTTGTATGTTGAATGTGGATGTGTGGGAGGCCTTCCTGCGGCGGGCTGTGGAGCTGAGCGACCGCGTCAAGGCCAGGACCCTCCTCAGATGCCTACAGGTACCTGCACAACACACAACACAACACACAGGGATGCATTCACTTGTGCACCACTTACTGTACTGCATCAGGCGGCTGCATCAGTGCGGTTTCCGTGCACTCCCGAGTGGAAGGCCCTCGTCCAGTAAGCCACCCAACACAGCACAGTACCAGAGGAGAGGGGCCGCCATCCTCACTCACATTTGGATGGATTTGTGGCCTTGTCAGGTCAGTGTGCCGCCGCAAGACGGAGCTCCTGCCACAGGACTTCTTCTACCTCTTCCAGGTGCGTGTGATGTGCATCACACATGTGTGTGCCTGTCTGTGTGTCTGTCTGTCTGTCAGGCGTGTGCCCGTCAGCGGTGGCGCGACCGCCACTTGCTTGAAGCCCTCAAGGCAATGGCGCTTGCCTGGCCAAAACTCAAGAACAAAGCTGCCATCAAAGTGAGAACAGACAGACGAGTGTCCATCCGTGTGTGTCGTCAAGGAGGGAGTGCCCCAATGTGTTCTGCATCCGTGTGTGTGTGTGTGTGGATGGATGGATGAATGGATGGATGGCGTCAGTCGGCGAATGCGTTGGCCAAGCTTGACATGGGTCGCGAGCACCTGTGCCAGCCGCTGAAGATCAGCCTGCATCAGAGAATCGACACATTGACACGTACGCAGCCTGCCTGCCTGGTTGCTGTGGGGCTAGATAGATGGATGGTTTTGGATGGATGTCTGCGTGTGTGCAGCTGAGAACTGTGCGAGCATGAACGCGTTGACCATCCAGGAGTGTCTGCGTGACGTCAGTGTGGAGCCCTTTCTCCGCCAGTGCATGCACCACCACCAGGGAGTCACCTTCCACCAGGCCAAGGAGCTCACCACACTCGAGTACCACCTCAGGTACACACACACGGAGGGGCGCCCTCGGCACAATCAATGTGTGTGCTGCGTGTATGTGGGTGAATCAAATCGAGCAGGCTGGTTCGTCCAGGTCTGTACGGTCGTCTCGACCCCTCTGTCAAGTATTTCCTGGAGGAGCTGCGCAGAGACGTCATCAGGGCAGCTGGCCACACGGGCCAGGAGACATTTCGCGACAATCCGGGCGAGGACAGCGACCGAGAGGAGGAGATGGCGATGGGGGCCGGTGTTGATGATGAAGGTGAGGACGATGGGGAGGGCGATGCGCCCATATCGGACTCTGACAGCGATGGCGATGACGCAACCACACCTGCGCAGCACGACACTGGGAAGCAGCACGGTGAGTGTGAAAGCAGACATTCGTGTCTGCGCATCACATCAGGTGAAACGAGCCGAGCCTTGTGGGTGCTGTGCTGTGTGTGCCTTGCAGGTGTGTCAACAATGTCAAGCTGGGTGCATCGTGACGTGTGTCGGCTGCTGACACACATGGGGGTGCCGCACACCAGCGGCCTCAAAGCAGGTCAGTCAGTCACGACACAACACAACACACACAAAGACAGCAATCCAATCCATGTGTTCTGTCCATTGATCAGGTCCCTATACGGTGGACATATTCCATGCGCCAAGCAACACGCTGATCGAGCTGAATGCGCCCTTCCAGTACTACGTCGGCACCGCACTCCTCACGGCAGCCACCAGAAGGCGCCACGAGATGCTGCAGGCGATGGGCTTCCGCCTGCAGCACATCTCGCACACCAAATGGGAGACACTCAGAACCGACGCCCACAAGGTAAGACAGGTGGGCACACACACACGTGCCTACCTGTGTGACTTCAGTGAGGTGAATTTTGCATGCGTGTGTGTGTATGTGTGTGTGTATATGTGTGTGTGTGTGTGTGTGTGCGGTTGTCAGGTGGCACATCTGCGTCGGCTGCTGACGTTGGGTGACAAGTCTGTGAGTCCGTCAGATGATGGTGCGTCGAGGGAGACCGCCAGGGGGCGGCGAGAGAAGGCAAGGGCAGAGACGCGTGCATCCCCCCTTCTGCAGTAGGCAGCCGGCCCCCCTCAGAAGGCAGATGTCTGTCTGCTGTGTATATGCATGGGAATGGGTGCCTGAATGACTGGCACATGTATGTCAATTGACGAGGGATGGAACGCACTGGTTGCATCGCATTGTTTGGGAGGTGCTGTCAGTGATGAACTCAATGACAAACCAGTCGTCGACGGGCGGGGAGGTTCTGATACACGCACTTCACCTCCTGGGTGACGGTGCGCGTTCACCGTCACCCAGGAGGTTGTGTGCGTCTACGCAACCTCCCCGACGCGACACGAGGCTGGGACGGGGGCTATATTGGATAAAGCCTCAGGCACTGACTGACGAACGATACACATATGTAGAGCCAGCCAGATGAACACGAAAGAGTCTACATCCGGTACATGTACCTACCCACCTACCACCCACTGGCTGCATCAGTACGGCTGTCTGTCTTTCTGTCTGTCTACTCATCCATCCATCCATTCATTCATCTATGCATCATGGTGTCGATTTGTCAGCCGGTCACTCCTCATCAGGGGGGCCCTGCTCGCCTGCACATCACAACACGTCACTCACAACAATTCAACACGGTGTGTATGTTGTATGCGCGTTGCGTGAGCATGCCTGTCCTGTACGCACCTGGTTTGGGCCCTCCCGCCGGCTTGGCCATGATGATCTGCACACCACACGCATAGCATAGCATTGCCATGGCACTTACAGGCAAGTGACGCCGCCCCCTTCTCTCTGTGTGTCGCATCGGCATACCTACCTGGTCGACTCTGAGTACGGTGATGGCTGCATCGGTAGCCAGCTTCATCGCCCACGCCTTGGTGTCGTGATGGTCGAATATGCCTACACGCAGACAGACGTGCATCACATCAAGCAGGGAGGAAGGGCACACGACACACAGGACTCACAAAGGGGAAGGAATACTTATGGGGTCACTAAGATGCTGACCGTGTTCGACGGCGTCGATTGTGGCCTCGGCGCCGCTGCCAGCGCCGCCCTGGTGGGTGAGCCGATTGATGCACAAGACAGACCCATGCTGACTGACATGACCTAACAACTTCACTCACCTCAACATTGACGCCGGTGTTCTTCCTGCCCTCCTGATGTGCCGCGTAGAGCGCCGTCAACACGTCTGGACACCCGCATGGCATGGTGCAGCCCATCCAGCCCATCTTTGTGCCGATCCCTCTCCCGGGTTGGCTTAGCTTACTTGTGGCGTCTTGGCCGGCATTGTCAGAGAGGATGCGGGGCACTGCCTGCGCAGCGCGCAGATGCAGACAGACACAGAGAGAGAGAGAGAGAGTGACGCGGCCACCATGCAGTGAGCGCAATCCTGGCTGACCTCGAGTGCTTCGCCGAATTTGAGCACGGCATACTGGTCCAACCCAGACACCGTCGCACCGAATTGCTGGCGGTATGGACACACAGATGGAGGACATCCCATACCACACACACACACATCCAAATGAAGCAGCCGAGCGTCCCCTCCTGTCTGTCTAGCGACCCGACCTGCAGCTGGTGTGCGATTTCCACTTCGGTGGCCCCCGCGCCCGGGACGAAGCGCCGGTCCCTCGTAATCGAACGCACACAATTCACAGCGTCATCTAGCCACACACACACACACACACACAGAGAGAGAGAGAGAGGTGGGGTGCATGTGGTCTCGTCTGGGATGTGTGTGTGGCGGTGGTGTTGTGGTGTACCGATGGCCCGTTCCACTTCGTCGAGTACGTTTGGCGTGGCGCCCCGCAGCACTATCGTGGCCACCCTGCTGCCCGACGCACGAATCACCGTCACCTGACCACACGCACAGCATAGCACAGAAATGCAATGTGCCTAGGGCTTCTCTTCTGTCCTTTGATGCACTGCACAGCCGTCCGTGTTGTGTTCGTCCGTCCGTGCCTTGGAGGATCCGATCTCTTCGACAGACACGTATTCCGCCGTGCCGAGCTCGTCGGGCAGCGGGGCTCCCTGCACAGCACATGAGTTCACGAGTGACATACATGGATGTGCGACGGAATCCTGCCTGAGTCTGCACCTCATCGGATGGCTTACTTACCAGCCTGACCATGGCGGCCGCCCCAAGTGTGCGGCACAGACGACGAAGCTCAAACTTGGACTGAACCTGCAGAGAGAGAGAGAGAGAGAGCGCCACTTATGCTATGCTATGCAGGCGATGCGGTTGATTGATTTGTGTCTGACAGGCTAGGGCTGGGCTGACTGACTTTGACGGTGAGAATGTCGTATTTGTTGCAGAAGTGCTGTGCGATGTCGGATATGTTGCCGCCGCTCACTATCACCTCCACACCAGCGTCACGGACCGCACGGATCGTCTGACACGACACACACCAGGCAGGTCGGTCCATGCCACCTCCCGTGTGTGTGTGTGTGTGTGGTGAGGGGGTGCCTCCCTCCCCGGGCCTCTCATCTCTCTGACCTCCTCCATTTTTTGTTCCTCCTTCTTTGTGAAGTTCAGCAGCTCCTCGGCGTTGTGCAGCAACACAGTGCCCTTCGTCTCGGTCCCTGACGGACGGACGTTAAGCAACCACACACACATAGGTGCCTGTGGGTGTGGTTGCTGTAAGTGTGTGTGTGTGTGTGTGTGTCGACATACATACCGGTGAACTCGATGCCACATGAGAGGACGCACACCTTGAGTTCGCCCTGTTTGTGCTTGACGCTGCCTGCACACGCACGCAGTACACCAGCCAGCCAGCCATTCAGCCAGCCACATACAGACAGAGTGGCGGGCCC